GGGAACCACTGACATAGATCATCAATGTACAAAACAAACAGTTTTGGGTCCAACACCAATTCTTGAAGGATGCCACTGTCCTTACATTCAGCTTCACACACTGTTGCTTATTCTGTAAATACCTACAGCCCAGTTTAAAACAGCTTCCCTGACTTTATAACCTACCAGTTTTTTAGTAGCACATCAAGCACAGATTGATGCTTATGATGTATTTTATTCAGTCTAATAGTTCCAGTGATGTGGATCTGCCTTGCCTCAATCTGTACAGGCTGTGGCGAGGTGGTTAGGGGAGTCATCCTGTAACCAGAGGGTTGCTGGTTTGACCCCCCTGTTCCAGCTGTCTCAGTTGTGTCCTTGGGCAAAACACTTCACTCGCCTTGTCTACTGATGGTGGTCAGAGGGTCTGGTGGTGCATGGCAGCCCCGCCTCCTTCAGCCTTACACCCAGCTACTCTTCCTCGGGTCCATCATTGAAAATACATAAACACAATACAATAAAAAAAATAAGACAGATAACAAGACTAAAATACATGATCATTCAATCAACTACAGTTCAATGTGTGAATGACTGTAAGTGTAAAGTGCTTTGGGGTCCAACTGGGCTTGATGAAGCGATATATAAGTTCAGATCATTTACCATAAAGTTTTCCAGCTAAACATTTTTGACACTTGTTATACTAAAATAAACTGTAGCTTGTAAAGTTGTGTTTGCTACCAGGGTTGTTCAAAAGTAAAGCTTTTTTTGATTTTCATTATGTCAGGAAATATATCAGTTTGAAATGTTAATTACAAACATAAATACCCATAATTACTTTTTAACCACTGTCATGAATCTCATTACGGTTCAAGTATTTCCTACAGTATTGCTGGTCAAAGCAGATGACCAGTCATCCTGAGCCTGGTTCTGTTGTTGGTTTCTTCCTGTTAAAATTGATTTTTTTTCTTTTCCTCTGTTACAAATGTGCTTCTCTGAATGAGAGACTGATGAAGAAAATTCAATACAATCTGCTGGCTTCCTTAGATGGATAACTTTTACTAATTGGCTTTTATAATGTTTGTGAATGTTTGTTGTACAGTATCCTGAGATTTTTTTTATGTGACTCGGCGTTATATCAATAAATTAAATGGACTTGAATTATTCTTGCATTTTCTAAGTTTAACACCCAAATGAAGGAAGTTTTTTTTTTTTACAAATTGTTTTTCTTTATCAAAGGTCTTCTGAAGTTAAGGCTGCAGTGTAATCAAGAGACAAGAAGAAAGTTTTGAGCTAAATAATTGATCAAGTCTACTGTATGACTTGTGGATGTAAGATTGGTTACAGATCAGATTGTTTTTCTTCTGGGTTGCAGGAGTTACTGAACATATAGTTCTGAATAAAAACACCACAAACAGGGAGTGAAAGATCAAATTGGCTTCTTTTAGTTCCTGCGATAAAAAAAATCCAGTTTAAACTCTCTACTTCAACTGTTTTATATGAAACTGTCTCAACTGGTCATTTGTCAGAACGTTTATGAAACTCTTGTTGTCTTATTCTTTTATACTTCTTATCTCTATTTAAATAAAAAAGAAGCTGCTTCCTCTTTCATACTCTCTGTTTAGGAAACACCTGCACACACCCGCAGAGGTGGTGGAATGAGAACCCAGAGGAGGGCAGGGGAATTTATGCCTCATTGCTGAGAAAGGGGGTAAAACAAATAATCACTGAACTGAACCAAAACTCAACCTAAGGCAGAGGTTTGGGCCCAAGCAAAAGTTCAGAAAACTGAACTGAGTGTTTCTGAAGATCAGGGTTGGAACCGGTGGAGCGAGGCGGTGACAGACTGATGAACATTATGGTTGCACCCCTGTATGTAAAGCAGGGGGTGGGGGCGGGTGTTCCTGTGTGACTGTTGTGAATTTATTTTCAGAAGTAAGAAAACGACATCACAGTAAAGTCATGGGTATGGTGAGTATATTTAAAGATTACTAAAAAAAAAGATTCAAGGTGGTTTTGATGCTTCTTGGAAAAGATGTAAGAACTTTAATTATTAGCATTTTGTGAGGAATTTAGGTTTTTCCTGATTGCCTCTATGGTTTTCAAAAAATTTACTGGAAGCCTCTTTTGGATGTATGTACTGTAAAACTAATGATTAGATTGAATATATATAACCTATAAGAGCAATTTAGTGTTAACAAAATTTTCACAAGTCTAAAATGTTACAGTGTGACCGAGACTTAAAGTATACTGGGATGGAGAAAAAAACGTCATATATATATATATACGTATATACATATATACATATATTTTTTGGAAATCAGAGTGTGAAGAGTTTATTTTAAAAATTGATTTTATGAATGTTGAGTAAATATTTTTTATTCTGTTTTATACATGCTAACTTATCTGTGTACTCACTACTTCAACAATGTAACCTTTTGGCCACCTTTCTGCTGTTTTAAATATTTTAGTTACTCTTTGTCACTAACCTGATTTATATATATATATATATNATATATATATATATACATATATAAACTCAAAATTTAGTAAAAGCTGACTGTCATCTGGTGGTTTGTTGCTGCAGAAACATTCCAATCCCAAGTTATTCCCAGGAGACATCGTGGAGTATCCAAGGAATAAATATTTTTCTCATTTTGGGATATATTTTGGAGAGAGGGATGGTGTGCCTTACGTCGCTCACCTGACATGTCGAGGTCAGTGTTTTCCTCCTGCAGATGCTTAGTTTTAGCCTCTAAGTGAAATTTAAATGTATGAAAAAAATAGATTAAGTCACTGTAAGATGGTTTATAAGTGTTAAAACTTAAAAGGCTAAAACATTGACAGAAAAAAATGGCTTGTTTCATCAGAGATATTTGTCTTAAGAAGTCCATTCTCTTTTTTTATTCTGCGTCATTTGATGTCTGAGTGCTGACTCGACACTATTGTTTCTGTTTTATTTATATTTTTCAGCACATGTTTTACAATTTAACTACTTCTTCATACTTTGTGCTATTTTAGCTGTTGTTTTTCAAAACGTTCAGTTAGTTCATGAAATGAGAGCTATGACATTTTTGTTTTTGTAATTTTTATACTTTTTGGATCGTTTAACTTCTGTGCTTTTTATTTTTCTAGTTTTATTCACTCTTAGTTGTTTTGATAAATAATTTTGCCAGATTCTGACACTAAGATCCCACTGTTTGGTCGAGCTCTGAGAGCAGAGGTCAAACTGGATCCTTTGGAGCTCCTGGGAACCAAATACAAGGTAAAACATGAAAAAACCACAACATAACTGTCATGTAAAACTGATGGTGGTCAGAGGGTCCGTTGACACAGGTGCATGGCCCCGCCTCTGTCAGTGTGCCTCAGGTCAGCTGTGGCTGTAGCTTACCACCGTCAGTGTGTGAATGGGTGAAGTGTAAAGCACTTTTGGGTCCATATGGACTTGAAAAGGCGCTATATATGTTCAAGCCATTTATCATTTGCCATAAAATGTTTTAAGTGACCTAATTTGAATAAAGAATAAAAGTTTTTCAACAAATACAAACCAGGTGAGCAACATGCTGGATGGCACACACACGCCGCGAGACTTCCACACAGTGGTGAAGCCTGCCATTGAGGACATGATGGGCCGTGAGGTGACCTTTGACATCCTGTTTCATAACAGTGAGCACCAGGTGACACTCTTCAGATACGGAGTAAAAAAGTCCCAACAGGTGAGATGACGGGGGGCTCACACACACACAGTTTACAGTGGAACATGGTATTAATATGTGTGTGTGTTTTGTTCGTTGTGTGTGTGTGGGTTTTTTTTTTGTTCAATTTGTGTGTGTGTGTGTGTGTGTGTGTGTGCGCGCGCATGTGTGTGTACTACAGATTGAACAGGTCTATGAGCACATCATGCCTGCCTGGAAGAAGCTGTTTAAAGAAAAGAAGCTGTAAAAAAAAAGGCAGATTTCACCACTAGTGGGAGCCATTGTTCTGTTTATAAACCTTAAAAAACTCAAGTTTCACATTTTTTCATCATTAAAAAATGAGAATGTCCCATTTTTTAATGTTCTGATAACCCATTTTATTGTTTTGTTTGTCTTTTTGTTTACTAATGCATTTTTGCTTTTGGACTGCACATCCTCTTCTCACCAATATTACTGATTGTGTTTAAACACATTGTTGGTAACTTGATCAAAATACCCTTTTTTTATTGGCAGAGAAAGTAATAGAAAATTAAATTACATTTTAGGGAAAAACTGAAACATTTTCTGAGCAATTCAGGATTATAGGTAAAAAAAGTTTTTTTTTAAAAAAAAACATGATGCTATGAAGTTAACACTGTAAAAATGTACTTTTAGAGATGTTTTCTAAAAAATCGACATTGAAAAGTTGTAATTCATTACTTTTGATGAACATTTCAGTATATATTTTTGTTTGTGTGTGTTTTTTACTTAGTTTCTTGTTTGTTTATGGTTTTGTTTTTAAATGAGTTTTTTTTTCTACAAACAAAATAAATCTGTTGTTTTTTTTTTATCAAAATGGCTTTCTTTTCAGTTGCAGACTCGTTAATTTACTGTTTTCAATATTTAAGCTTTTGTTCTGCCCTGAGTCTGTTTTAATTTCATCAGCAAATTCCACGAAAGTCATTCAGAGCTCAGTGTCCACTTCTAAGTCATAATATTGAAATATAATTTGCCAATTTATTTTTTCTAGAGATTCCTTAAAGCAGATACTGTGATATGTTCTTTTCTTGTTTGGTCACCAAGTTTTGAACAATAACTACAAAAGTTAAAATGTTTCAAGGTTTGTTTACTCTGTAATCATTGGTGTCTTTGTTATGCTGTTTTATTATTTTCATTTGTTTAATAAAAACACTGTCGTGATACAACTTAGTACGTTTGATTGCTTGTTTACTCTGTAATCATTGGTGTCTTTGTTATGCTGTTTTATTATTTTCATTTGTTTAATAAAAACACTGTCGTGATACAACTTAGTACATGT